AATACTTGTTTTTTTTTTTTTAAATTAGCTTTTCCTTTGGCCCAAAATATGGTTGGTGGTTACTATTCTGCTTTGAGATAAGAAAAAAAACAACACAATCAAAGTCATGTGGTTGGATTGAGGTGAGGGGAAATGGATTGAGGTGAGGGGAAATGGATGAGAATAGTCAATTGCGATAAGAGGGAGAGGGATGAAAAATTTCCCTCTATCTTGTTTGATTATATAATTAGTTAGTTTGGTACCAATTGCACTTTTTTTTCCATTTTTTTTTTTTTGGATTGAGGTGAGTGGAAATGGATGAGAAGAGTCAATTGCGATGAGAGGGAGAGGGAGGAAAAATATAGAATTCCATATATATCTTTTGTTTAAGCATAATTTTTTTAATATAAAAACAAGTTCCTGCAAAAGAAACCATGAATAGAAAATTGGGAGAAAAACAATCAACATTGAACCATTTCTGATCCCTTTTCGGTGCCTAAAATTCTTAAATATTTGCTTTACATTTGAAATGTGTACTTGTACGAGTTTTTGCATTTGTAAGTGAGTTAACATAAATGAATATTATTATTTTTTTTTTAAAAAAAAATTGGTTACAATCTGTATTTTTCCTTATTTCTTTCTTTTTGTTAATAATGTGTCATTTAATTGAGATTTTATTCTTTTTTTATATTTATAAAAGCATTGCAATTATTAATTTATAACTCTCCCACTTATTGATTATTTGTGTTTAATTTTTTTTTATTTTTTATTTTTGGTGTAGATGTTAGATTGAAAATGAAGAACACGTCAAAATTTATTGGATATGGGTTATACTTTAAATGTATTTATCAGTTGATTTTTTTATTGTTAATTATCCTATTGAAATAATTCATGATTAAATTTATTTTTAGTAACTCATTTCCTTTGAGAACTAAACCACAAATTTCTTCTTTGTTTAAATTATTTATTTATTTATTTAGATTCTGAGTTTGAGCAAATGGAAGATATCTCATATTTAAACTGTTAATTTTTTTTTTGAATAATTTAAATATTTATATTCTTTATGTTTGTCAATTCAAGTATAATGCATTTTCAAACATTTTTTTTAAATTTTTTTTATAATTATTCCAAACCTATTTGTGTTTAATGAATCAATATAACGAAAAAACAAATAGCATGTAAAAAATTTTAACTACTAACTAAATATAGTGGGAATTAAAATTAATTTTATTTTAATTTATTATATTATATGAGATGATTAATGTAATATCTACTATTGATTAAGCAAAATTAGTGTTACTTAAATTTAATATATTAGTCATTTTGATTAATTATAATATGCCTTTATTACTCTATTTTTGGTTGTCTGAAGTAATTCTTAGATAAATTAGATATTATATATGTGATGATTTACTAATGTATAATAGTTTTTTAAAATTTTCAATAATGTGAAATATTAAATATTTTTAATGATGTGAAGTAAGATTTATATACACAAACCAAATAAAAATGTTAAGAAATATAAACAAATAGCAAATTTTTTTTAGTAATTATTGACTTTCTAAAAACTTGTGCATCGCACGGGTGACCACTAGTATTTAACTAACAGGATGAGTTGTTTCAATACTTGTTTTTTTTTTTTTAAATTAGCTTTTCCTTTGGCCCAAAATATGGTTGGTGGTTACTATTCTGCTTTGAGATAAGAAAAAAAACAACACAATCAAAGTCATGTGGTTTCCCTAATGTTGTGTTTGGTTGGGGGATTTGGGGAGGGATTTGGAAAGGGAATAGGAAAAGGTGTGTGAAATTAGGTGAAATATAGGAATGTTTTATTCACATTTCACCTACTTTTTCCATTTACCTTTCCAAATCCCTCTCCAAATCCCCCAACCAAACGCAGCATAAAAAAAAAAGTAATGCAATTGCACTTTTTTTTTTTGTTTTTTTGTCTGTTTGGATTGAGGTGAGGGGAAATGGATGAGAATAGTCAATTGCGATAAGAGGGAGAGGGATGAAAAATTTTCCTCTATCTTGTTTGATTATATAATTAGTTAGTTTGGTACCAATTGCACTTTTTTTTCTACTTTTTTTTTTTTGGATTGAGGTGAGTGGAAATGGATGAGAAGAGTCAATTGCGATGAGAGGGAGAGGGAGGAAAAATTTCCTCTATTTTGTTTGGTTACATAATCAGTTAGTTTAGTAAAATTTTCTTCTCCTCATACTACAAAGTAACTTTATATATGTTAAAATAAAATAAAATAAAAATTTATTACACACAGTGCATAAGTAAGTTTTAAATCCAATACTTTAAATTTCATTAAGAACATACTTATCACTTAAGTAACATACATATTATGTTATTTAATTCTTTATTATTTATTTTTGTTATTAATTATCTGAATTGCACACGTATCGCGTGTGCTATCTGCTAATATTTAATTAATAAGAGGATAAGTAAAGTGTTTAAAATGTTTGTATTTTCTCTCTTATATTAATCCAAACATAATTTAATTAACTTTATTTATTCAAATCCTCCACTTTCCTTTCTAAAGCATCAATCCAAACAGGTGTTAGGGATTATATAAAATTCAGGATAAATTATCAATAAGCTACTTGAAATTTGTTTAAAATACGATTAACTCATATGATTTTAAGTTCCCCTTTAACTTTAATTTTAAAAATTATATGTCTAATGAGTTTTACTTTAAAAAAAAAGTGAACTGCTTGATTATATTTTTGACGTTCTAGCTTAATAAACCTCAAACTAATGCCTCGTTTGGCAAGTGATTTTTTTAGCTAAAAAGTCAAAAAGTCATTAAAAAAATCAAAAAGTTAACAATATATATCAAAAAGTCAAAAATTCTATTTTCTCTCTACTTTTTACACATTTTTTCATAAAAAACTAAAAAAATTATTTCAAACATACTAATTTTTTTATATCATATTTTAACTAAAAAATTAAAAAATTATTAAGAAAGCCTGTTCTCAAATGAGGCCTAAACTTGGGCAAGATTCATTTACTGTGGTATAGTCGGGTAGTACTTTACCTCTAATCTTTTAAAATTAGTCATAGGATAGAAAAATATACATTTAAGGTAGGACTTTGACTAAAAATAAAAAAGACATATTCCTAACTCTAAGTACATGTGTGTCAAACAATTCTGACTTTATTTAGACAAAAATATATACTTTAATTTAAAACCATATGGGCTTTGTGGATATTTTTTAAAAAATAGGAATAAAGTAGAGAAAATTACAATTCATTAAAATTTCTAAAAGAATAATTATAAATTTATGAAAAAATTTATAATTTTAATTATTAATATTTGTAACAAATTTCCGTAATCTGAATTTTTTTGTTAAATTTATAATAAATTGTAATTTTCTCAATAAAGTATTTCAAACCATACAAACAAGGTGTAATCTTAAAATATTCACTTTTTTGAGGTGTTAGCAAGAAGTCCTTTGCTCTCACCATTCATTCAAATCAAAAGAAAGGGAAATAAATTTAAATAAATTAAATAAAAAAGAAATACAAAGAGACAAACTAATAAATGACGATTTTGGAAAAAAGTGTGCTTTATATAAAGTAGAAACTTTTGGAGTATTTTCCGAAGATGGTCAAAAAAGTTGACTTTTTAGTTGTTTTTTGGTTTTTTTTTTTTTTTTTTTATTTTTTTTTTTTTTTTTTTTTTTGGAAAAAATGTGTAAAAATGGTAAGTAGCGACCTGACTTAAAATAGGTTAAAAGTAAAAAAAAAACTTATTAGTATTTTTAGCATAAAATATTAAAAAACAATCAAAAAAAATTTACATAATTTTTAAATAGGATGATAGGTAACTTGTTTTAATTTTTTTATTTCCAAACAAAACATGGACTAAGGCCCTCATAATTTCAAAATTTTACTAAAAACTCTTTATAAACAGCATTTTATTTTTAAAATATCAATAACGCTTAATTCTATAAATATTTTTTAAAAAATTGTAAATCTGTAAGAGAAATCTCTTTTAATTAAATTTTGACAGATAACAAGAACTTACACCATATACAAACAAAATTTATTTCATCATAAAAATAAAATTATTACTCCGCTCTGCAACTAAAAAATAATTTTTACATTTCAAATAATTTAATACTAAGAATGGCAATAACATCAATAGATACATCAGACTCTAGATTCAAAACCAATATATATACTCTCTCTTTCTTGGCAATTTTAATATTTCAAATAATTTTTCACTGGAAATGACAATGACAACAATACATACATCACACTCTGACTTCAAAACCAATATAAATACCCTCTTTTTCTTATCAATTTTGATATTTCAAATAATTTTTCATTGAGTAATAGTAGGGATCATGAAAAAAATATTATGAAGATGATCATGAAATATTCTTCACATTTGAATTACACATACGATAAGATACTATACATTAATCAAAGGACGAAAAATTTTCATGATGTATTTTATGATTTTTTTTCATAATTTTTAACATTACTCTTTTTCACTGGGAATGCCAATGACATCAATACATACATCAGACTCTCACTTCAAAACTAATATATATACTCTCTCTTTCTTGTCAATTTTGATATTTCAAATAATTTTTCACTGACTGGCAATGGCAATGACATCAATACATACATCACACAGTAACTTCAAAACCAATATATATACATCACGCAGTCAATACATACAGCCTCTGTTTGGGAAGTGAGTTGATTTTTTAATTTTTTTAATTATTTTAGTTTGGGTTAAAAAATTTGATTTGAGAAGAATTTTTTAGCTTTTTAATTTTTTTAACTTTTTTCTATGAGAGAAGAATGTAATAATTATGAATTGGATATGATATTTTATTTTTTGTGACTAAAATAACTTATTTTATCTTTTGTGACTAAAATAACCAAAAAAAATTCTGTTTAACTCTTGCCAAACGGAGCCACGTTATATTCCTTTAACCACCAAACCAATTCCCCCCCCAAAATACAACACGAAACAAAGAAAGACACCCACAATCCCACACCTAGAAGCAGAGACGCCAAAAGATACCCATCTGTTCTTCTCCTCTAAAAAATAAAAATAACACATCAAAGATTCAATCAAATTTCTCAAAAGAAATTTGAGAAACATCGGTGACAATGGAGGGTGGTGATAATATACTGAGAGTGAGTAGTGCTCGTTTGAGTAGTTCCAACATATGGAGGAACAGCGGGGGAGAAGTTTTCTCAAAATCTTTTTGCGATGAAGACGACGAAGAAGCTCTGAAATGGGCTGCTATGGAAAAATTACCCACTTATCAGAGGATTCAGAGAGGTATTTTGACTGAAGAACAAGGCCATGCAAGAGAGATTGACATCAAAAAGCTTGGGGTGATTGAGAGAAAGAATCTGCTGGAGAGGCTTGTGAAAATCGCAGAGGATGACAATGAGAAGTTCTTGTTGAAGCTCAAGAAACGCATTGACAGGTAATCACAAATTTTTTTTTTTTTTTGGGGGGGGGTCAATACATACAGTCTCTGTTTGGGAAGTGAGTTGATTTTTTAATTTTTTTAATTATTTTAGTTTGGGTTAAAAAATTTGGTTTGGGAAGAATTTTTTAGCTTTTTAACTTTTTAAACTTTTTTCTATGAGAGAAGAATGTAATAATTATGAATTAGATATGATATTTTATTTTTTGTAACTAAAATAATTTATTTTATCTTTTGTGACTAAAATAACAAAAAAAAAACTCTGTTTAACTCTGGCCAAACGGAGCCACGTTATATTCCTTTAACCACCAAACCAATTCCCCCCCCAAAATACAACACGAAACAAAGAAAGACACCCACAATCCAACACCTAGAAGCAGAGACGCCAAAAGATACCCATCTGTTCTTCTCCTCTAAAAAATAAAAATAACACATCAAAGATTCAATCAAATTTCTCAAAAGAAATTTGAGAAACATCGGTGACAATGGAGGGTGGTGATAATATACTGAGAGTGAGTAGTGCTCGTTTGAGTAGTTCCAACATATGGAGGAACAGCGGGGGAGAAGTTTTCTCAAAATCTTTTTGCGATGAAGACGACGAAGAAGCTCTGAAATGGGCTGCTATGGAAAAATTACCCACTTATCAGAGGATTCAGAGAGGTATTTTGACTGAAGAACAAGGCCATGCAAGAGAGATTGACATCAAAAAGCTTGGGGTGATTGAGAGAAAGAATCTGCTGGAGAGGCTTGTGAAAATCGCAGAGGATGACAATGAGAAGTTCTTGTTGAAGCTCAAGAAACGCATTGACAGGTAATCACAAATTTTTTTTTTTTTTTGGGGGGGGGATTTTAAGATTGTAAATTGATCTGGGTTGTTGATGTAATTGTATTTGAAGCACTTAATTATTATTTTTTTTTTTGTGTGTCTCTGTTTTTTCTGATTTTTACAGAGTTAGGATTGATCTTCCCACCATTGAAGTCTGGTTCGAGCATTTGAATGTCGATGCAGAAGCTTATGTTGGCGGTAGAGCACTTCCAACAGTTCTCAACTTTTCCATTAATCTTTTTGAGTGAATTTTCTCAATTAGATCACAGAAACATGTTCATATCTGTGTTGTAATTTGTAAATTGAACTAACCCTGTTTTCTCTCTCTGTTTCTCTCTGTTTTAAAAGGGGTTCTTTAATTACCTGCATGTGCTTCCAAGTAGGAAGAAACCATTATCAATCCTTCATGATGTTAGTGGAATCCTCAAACCTGGCAGGTGGGGATAAGATTTTTAAGTCACATTGTCTGTTAATTGTTATAGATTAACCTAACAACATAGTTCTCAACCCCATTCATATATTGTTTTTGCAGAATGACATTGCTTTTGGCCCCACCAAGCGCTGGAAAGACATCATTGCTGCTTGCTTTGGGTGGAAAACTTGATTCAGATCTAAAAGTAAGAAAACAACTACTAGTTCATTTTTTTTTTTAAAAACCAAGTAACTATATCTGGTTTTGTTGTTAAAATTTATTTATTTTTAAATATTATAAAATTAATTTGGTAAAAAATAATAATAATAAATTCAAAAGCAATCATCATCTTGATTTTTTTTTTGTTGAAAAAAAAATAATTTTTAAAGTTTCAAAACATCTTTTTCTGTTTATTTACACCAAACTAATTTTAAGTATTTTTCATAGAACAACTGCTGAAAACTGAATAGGGGACTTGTTTTTGTAAGAATTTTTCCTAAATATGGCTTAATGTGGCTTATGTATGATTGTACTAGATTCATCTCATTAAGTAAGATACATGTACATCAATTAGATGATGACTAATCATTGATGAATGCACCTATATATACATAATATATAGAAGACTAATGGAGATAATGTCAATGCATTGAATGTGATAGATTCATTATGAATGAATCTTAGAGATGCATTATGTATCATGAATGTGTAAGATACATTAATCTATTTAATGAAGTTCATTGAATTAATGAATTCTTTGATGGGAAGAATACTAGTATAAATAGTGTAAGGTCCCAAATCACACTCTCCATCACAAAACTAAACTTGTCACCACAAGAAGGCTCCCATCGCCTAGGGAGAGAGAAGTGGTTTGAAGATCTTAGACAAGTAAAGAACTTAAAGATCAAGGTCTTCCATTCAAGGTTTCTCTTTCTTACAAGAAGATTTCATACTATCATGGATCAAAGTATGTATTCACTTATTTTGTATAGTAGAAATTCATATAGTTTTCATGTATAGAATTGAATCCTTAATGATTTTTAGTTTATGTTTCGCAAAGTTTTCTATCAGTTTTATCTTGTGATTGTATATAAATCTTGTTGTGAAGAATTTTGTAATTTTACTGGACACTCAAATTTATTGTAAGGGCCTTTTACGGAGACAAAAGGCAGGCCAATTTTGGGAACTTGGCTAAAAACTAAAATTTGGCTTTTAGCCTATTTTAGGTCACATCATCTGTCTATTTTTTTCACATTTTTTTTTAAAAAAAAAAAAAGTCAAATTTTTTTTTTTAAAAAAAAGTCAATTTTTAACTAACTTCTCAAAACAATCCGGCTAGTAGGAGCATAGTGAATTTAATCTTCAAAAAGCATAATTTTTAATATATTTTACAAAACACATACTCAAAATGGAATTGGGGACTTGTTTCATCTTGTAATCTTTCTAAAGGCATGGGTACTCCAAAAATGGTGTCGTACGAGTACCAGGTATTTACCGAGTGCGGGTACGCACACCGATATGGAGGTATGCATATCGGATACACCGAATACATGTCGAGTATGGCAAATACATTTGGATACATCGTGGGTACGACACCGGTACACTGTGGGTACAACACTGGTATGGTGAGGTGATTTTTTTTGCAGCTGCTAGAATTTGTTGCAGCCTTTATTATTCTTCTTTCAATTTTGAAAATATCAAGTAATTATTTCCAACACCTTTTATCCATGAGTCGTGGTTTTACTCTCTTTTGCATCCTGTTTTAGACACTCAAAAAAGAAAAATAAAGAGTTATATAAATTTTCATACAAGTTGTTCTCGTTTTAGTTTTGATATTGAAACTTTGATTTGTATGTTGGATGTTTAGCTATAAATTTTAAGAAATTTTTTTTTTAAAAAAAATTGATGTACCTCACCCGTACCAGCACTCTACTTTTTTAAGAATTTGCCATATCAGCGTATCCATATCGTACCCGAACCCATATCCATATCCATACCCGCACCCGTGCTTCATAACATGAATCTTTAGTGAGTTGTGTTATACTTTTACTCTACGCTCAAATTTACTATAAAAGCCTTTTATCGAAATGGATGGCCTGTTAGGCACATAGTGAACTTTATATTCTCCCCGACTTAGGCATATTATTGAACCACATATATGTGTCTAATAGTTTCTTTATTGTTTTTTTGCAATTGGAACCATTTGATTTCAGCAAAACAAATCTGATAGTAAAAAAATTGTAGGTTTCTGGGAAAGTAACATACAATGGGCATGGAATGAATGAGTTTGTTCCGCAAAGAACATCAACTTATATAAGTCAGCATGACCTTCATATAGGAGAATTGACAGTGAAAGAAACATTGGCTTTCTCAGCAAGATGTCAAGGGGTCGGAGCTCGCTATGGTCGATTATATTCAATGGGTGTTGATCATATTTAGGATTTGGTTATGAGAATTGAACTAGGTCTTAATTGGTTTGTTTGAATTTGAAAATTTTGCAGACATGTTAACAGAATTGGCTAGAAGAGAAAAAGAAGCAAATATTAAAAGCCTGATGCTGATCTTGATATTTTCATGAAAGTAAGGGAATAGCTGTTCTGTTTGGTTGTTTTTTTTTCATTTGCTTAGTTTTATTTTTATATGCAAATTTCGGTATTTTGTTGAGCCTTTTTTTTTTTCTGGATGTAATTCTTGTAAATTGTTTTCTTTTTTTGTTTTGTATATCTAACTATGCTCGTGTAATTATTCAGGCAGTATCACAAGAAGGACAAAGGGCCAGTGTGGTCACAGACTATGTTCTTAAGATGTTTGATTGAATTTCTCTTAAATGACATTTCATAGGGGAAAAAATAAAATTCACACAAAATTTGATATGTATACTTTCTGGTTTTCCAAATTCACAGATTTTGGGACTGGAAGTTTGTGCTGACACTATGGGTAATGAAATGGTGCGAGGTATATCTGGTGGGCAGAAAAGCGAGTCACGACAGGTAATTCCTAACCTGCCAACTTCGTGTTAGATAATTACATAATTTTTTTTTAAAATATTTACCTATTTTGATGAAATATGATACAGGGGAGATGTTGGTTGGACCAGCAAGAGTGCTCTTCATGGATAAGATATCAACTGGCTTTGACAGTTCTACAACTTATCAAATTGTGAACTCAATCAAGCAGTCCATCCACATCCTTCAAGGAACTACTGTTATCTCTCTCCTCCAGCCAACGCCAGAACTTATGACTTGTTTGATGACATAATTCTCCTCTCAGATGGGAAAATTGTATATGAAGGCCCCCGCGAAAATGTCCTAGAGTTTTCGAATACATGGGCTTCAAGTGTCTTGAGATACATTCTCTTTTTTATGGTATAGAATACACTGGACTTTTGAAGTACTCAAAATGTTTTTGGTGGAATCATAGGTGACATCGAAGAAAGATCAAGAGCAGTATTGGGCAAAAAGAGATGAGTCGTATAATTTTGTTACTGTCAACAAATTTGTAGAGGCATTTCTATCATTTCACGTTGGCTGAAAACTAGGAGATGAGCTTTGCCATTCCATTTGACAAAGCCAAGAGCCACCCTGCAGCTTTAACAACTAAGAACTATGGTGTTAGTAAGAAGGAACTGTTGAAAGCTCTCATCTCCAGAGAATACTTGCTCATGAAAAGAATTCATTTGTCTACATATTCAAATTCACTCAAGTGAGTAATGTCAAAGTAGAGCATTAAACTTTCACAGTTCCACTTCACATTTATGAAATAATTTGGAAGTTTTGTTCTAACTCGCATCAATGGTTGTTTGTTTCAGCTTATTATATGGCGGTTTATTA